GCCTAAGCAGTTCCTTCTCCCCGTAGGAGTCGGGCTGTTCCCTAGCGTCTGGGAGGACCGCGAGGCGCTCGCACTGGCAAAGATCGGAACCGCAGCGCTCGGCTGCTGTCCAAAGTTATCACAGCTGTAGATACCTCCAGGCACAGTCGCAGGCAAGCATTTTAAACAGGCAATTCTGTACTGTCTGCCAGGCAGCCCTGTTGGAAAGTGATGAGCAAGGACATCAGTCTGAGCAGTCAGGTCACAGGCTGCTTTTCCCTACGGGGGAATCGTTCACTCCTGGGTCAACTGTGCGCCAGCTGAAAATGGAGCAGGGGATTCTGCCTGCACCCGGACGTCGCTAGGTGCCATAGCACGCGGGCTGTGGAAACGGCGGCGGGATGAGCCGCAAATGGGCACTTAAACAGCAACCCAGAGCACAGCTTGACGTTAACTAGTCTTGATTCCATAGCCGGGAGGGCAGAGAAGGGCTGCTGACATCACCCGGGGCGGGGCTGCAAGCCCTAAGAAAAGTCGACGGGACCAGACCGACGTCTGCTGCCCGCACAGTCTCATCATGAACTGCCACAACAGCTGCGAGCTCCTGGACCGCGGCAACCCGGGCCAGCTGCTCCTGCAGCCGGTCTGGGACAGCATGAGGACCAGGGAGGAGCTGGCGCTCTCACCCTTCTTCCCGGTGGTCTTTTCCATCATCTCCTACGTGGGCTTCTGCCTGCCGTTCGTGGTGCTGGACGTCCTGTGTCCTTCGGTGGCCATCGTGAGGCTCTATAAGATCCACCCCGACTTCTCGCCGTCAGCGCGGCAGCTGCTGCCCTGCCTGGGTCAGACCCTGTACCAGCACCTGGTGTTCGTGTTCCCAGTGACGCTCCTGCACTGGGCGCTCAGCCCCGCGCCGCTGCCGCCCGAAGCCCCCGAGCTCTTCCAGCTGCTCAGCCACGTCTTCATCTGCCTGCTGCTCTTCGACACCGAGATCTTCGTATGGCACGTGCTGCACCATAAGGTGCCCTGGCTGTACCGCAACTTCCACAAGGTGCACCACCAGAACACATCCTCTTTCGCGCTGGCCACGCAGTACATGAGCCTCTGGGAGCTGTTTTCTTTGACCTTCTTCGACGTGGTGAACGTAGCGCTACTTGGATGCCACCCGCTCACCGTCTTCGTCTTCCACGTGGTCAACATCTGGCTGTCAGTGGAGGACCACTCTGGCTACGACTTCCCGTGGTCCACGCACAGACTGGTGCCCTTTGGCTGGTACGGGGGTGTGGCTCACCACGACCTGCACCACTCGCAGTTTAACTGCAACTTCGCTCCTTACTTCACACACTGGGACAGACTCCTGGGCACCTTGCGGCCCGCACCCCTCCCAGCGTGGCAGTGTGCCTGTGGCAGGCGCTGCTCAGACTCAGGGCGGCTGTGCACGAAGTGCAGGTGAATGAGGAGAAACAGACCTATGTTATTATTATTATTTTTTTCAAAAGCAAGTAACTTATTGACTGATGAACGCTGTTAGGAGGCCTTATGTATATTTGCAATTGACAAAGTAATTTCTATAATGTTTGCAAATCCATGTAACTGTATTCTTGGTGTGAAGCTCTAATTCACTTCAACACCATTGATTTCTGGACATAAATTAGACGTTTGAATCTTCTCTAGAATGTCTGTTGGTAGAACAGAGACCTTCATGTCTGCAATCGTGCTGGAACTGGGCTAAACAGATTTATGGAAGACCTAACAGGTCTTGATTTCTTTGACTCTTTAAATGATCAAACTTGTTCCTGCTGGACAGTGACCAAGATTATAGTATTTTTTTCTATTTTTAAGTATAACCATAATTTACATAGAAATATGTACTTTAAATTTGTACTTTAAAAATGAAGGAAAAAATAAAAAGAACATTAATTAAACAAGTACTGGTTCCTGCGGCATTTGTGCTCTGGTGTGTAAAAACTAAGGGGACGGCTAGGTGGTCAGTGCCCTTTGGAAAGAGAAGAATCTGGTGGTACCTGTTTGGGGGTGAAAAGATACAGAAAAGGAGGC